AGTTGAAAATCGATACTAATATGTGACGATTCAAATCGGTTGAGATGTTAAATTAATTGCGATACAGTTGGGAGTAGTTTATATGAATGTATCTCTGAGGGGAACTGACTGTCTTTAGAAAAGTTTAGATGATTTTTTTTTCATCTTGGCTGTATTGCTGCGTTTCCATAAGCGCCCCCTGCTGTCAAAGAGTGAATTAACGTTCTCATTCAGCCCGTCTGCTGTTTCTGTCTCGTTCAGATGTAGCATGATTTCACAGTTTAAGTCAGACCATTGTGTTTTTGCTTCAAATTTCGAAATTATAAAATCTAATTTAGAGTAAACACTGCTCATGCAGCATGTATGCAGCATCATTGTTTGGATCATGATTAAAATACAGTTGTTGCCTCTAACTGAATGGAAAGAGCACAGGCAAAACCTTAGTTTGTTTATGTGAAGAGATTTCTTTTATTTGTGTTATTTATTTATTTGTTTTGGGGCTTGTTTTAAAATTTCAATTTAGTTTTGTTATTTGACATATTTCAATTTTACAAAGAAATGTTCAGCATTTTGCCTAAGCAATTATAAAAAGGACATCTTTTCATTTAGAATGTGTCTTAAATCTCATTTTGAAATCTCACTTTCTCTATTATCGCATTAATTTACTCTCATATAACTAATTGTTCATCACAAGTGTTTAGGGATGCACAATACAGTAGGACCATATCGCAATATAGTTTATATACTTTATACATTACACTACAGTGCAAACAATACAGTTTGGGGTTGTTTGTGGTTGCTCACCAAAGCTGTATTTATTAATCAAAAATACAGTAAAAAAACAGTAATATTGTGAAATATTATTACAATTTAGAATAGTTAAAATAGTATTATTACAGTTAAAAATTCTGTTTAAACAGCCGAATTTGCAGCAGCCATTACTCCAGTACTCAGTGTCACATGATCATTGAGAAATTATTCTAATATGCTGATTTGGTGTTAAAGAGACATTTCTTATTATCATCAGTGTTGAAAACAGTTGTGCTGCTTAATATTTTCGTGGAGACTGTGGTACATCTTTTCAGTATTCTTTAATTAATAGAAACTTCAAATGAACTGTCTGTAAAAATCTTTTGTAACATTAATAATGTTATTACTGTCACTTTTGATCAATTGAATGTATCCTTACTGAATAAAAGTATTAAATTATATAAAAAATAAATAAATAAATAAAAAAACTAAAATGATTGACCCCAGATGTCTGAATGGTAGTGCATAAATATTGTTTCAGAGCTGTTGGTTATTCAGTGTTAACGACTGTAGTCATATAGTCCTGACAAGTGGTGTAGGCTGAAACTTAATGTATTGCCACTGTAATTACTTAATCACACAATTACCAACACTTTAGCGATTTTTTTAATCACTTTTTTTCTTTAGCGATTTTCATTCTATTGTGCAATATGACACTTCATTAATATCTGACCCGCTGAACCTGTGTTTTATTATTTGTGCTGTCCTCTGTAATCAAATACTCAACATGCCTATCCTATAAAGAGGTAACTCAACTTAAATGAGCACCATTGATCAGGATTTGCTGTGTAACAGTGATTAACCATCACATTAGTTTCATTTACAAGCTATTGAGGGAGAGACATGCAAAACGAGATCATTGCCCTGTGGCTTCTGACTTCACTAAAGGTTTTTGTGGAGATTTATGCCTGGTTTATGAACAGTACTTGCCAGGATTTAATTACGCTGTTTCATGCTTGTTGTTGACGAGCTGGAAAAATGCTGACACTCCTGTTCTTCTGTAATTACTCCTCGAGGAGAAGACAGAGGGATTGTATATCATATTGCATTTAATGAAACACCATAACAGGAATTCCTAGGTCTTAGAAGTGGCACAGGACCTTTGAGAGACATTCTAATAATGTTCTGGTTGGTTGCCAGTGCCCAGTGTGCCTTTAGGTGACAGTTAAATGGAGCCCTAGGACGTTAAATTACACCCTGCTGGCCATCTTTTGTTTTGACTCATGGGAAATGTTTCGCCTGGTGTTGTTCAACCTCAGTCCTGCTCTTGGCTTTGTTCAGAGTTCATAAAATAGCCATGATGATAAGCACTCTCCATTGACCTGAGAGTCTGTCACGGTGGTAATACCCCTGTCAGGGTGGCCAGACTACAAGAGTTTTCATTCCTGGTGACATGATGAGCGACATGATCCTTTCCTCTCCTCTACCTCCAGGGAAGACATGCGCTCTGAAATTTCTCTTTGCCCCTCTTAACCAGATAGCAACTTGAATTACTTTTTTTCTGCTTCTTTGAACCAATGAGGATTCATTGGCTGGCTGAGGAGATTAGAATCTATTTTGATCCCTCTATTTTGAAGCTATTTGCCATAGCTGAAATAGCTTCTCCTGCATGAGGGTGCCAATTACAGTGCCACTGGGTTCTGGGAGAGTGTGGGTGAGAAGGGGATTGGATCACAAGTCCAATAGTGTCAGACCACTTCCTTAGCAAAGAGAAAAACTGACCTGTGGTGCTAATATCACCAAAATGAGATGTGTTATAGCATCACAAATATCAACACAGAACACTATGATCCAGTGCAAGCCAGTGCATTCAGGAAAGTGTTTACTATGAATGTTTATTGATCAGAGATAAACACAGAAGAGGGCCAAATCACGAGGAACTGAATCAAATTATCCTTTACAAGAGATCTTTTACACTGTACTAGTTAATTGTAGTATTAAAACATACTGTAACTCAAAACTACCTCTGCAGTGAATAAAGACCTTTTATTAATTTTAAGCTGCAGAAACCATGTTTACAAGTATATGCAGCTACATTTAAACATCTGTTCGGAGTTTAGAAACATATTTCTTTTGTTTTGCTTTTGATTTCTTTTGCTTTCTGTTGTTCCTTTTTTGGAACAACAATATTTTTATTTTTTATATTTTGGAACAGCAATATTTTTAGGATATATATATATATATATATATGTATATGTGTGTGTGTGCGTATATATAAAGTAGCTTTACTGACATGTATATGTAGACCTCAGAAAGAAATCATGACAAGCAAAGCATTGAGTAATGATTTATGTGTAAATGTATGATTTAATATCCTGTCTTTTAAGGGTACATTTAAACCTTTCTTACAAACTTCTCACATTTAAACTGCAGTGTTCTAGGATTCATTTTAAGATGTAGTCATGCCTCAAAGCCCAAAGGAGTTAATTTGAACTTACGGTCTGTGTTTGAACATCACAGATCTGTCAGAGCCTCTGTACGTTCAGACAGTTAAGCCCATTTCAGCAGAATAGTATAACGGCTCTTCAGAAGCCTTTATTTCAACAGTTTTAACAGTAGGTTACTAATCATAGAACCTTGCTGATTCTCTCTTAGCACCGCACATTTTCAGCTTTTCTACCTTTCTAATGTCTGTGTAATTTTATTACAGGTCTTTTTTTAAATATAGACAGAACAGAAAAAATAAAACAACAATTCACATGGCTTCAAATAAATTTTTTTTTATGTGAGAGTTTATGGTGTTTTTATAAAACACTGCTTCAGTGCAGTTGAATTTTTGCTTTTCACATTAACATCAGCAGGTTCTATCCCTATATATGAACTTTTTTGTTTTGGGGTTCTCAAGGCTCTATATTCCACTGGCGAAGGATTGACAGGCTAATTTAAAATGTTTTCAATTGCAGGAATGTTTAATAGGAGAAGTGACAGTGTTTTTTTCTGCCTGTGTCTGGAGGTTTGATACAACAGCACGCATTAACAATTTGTAGCTGACACTTATCTGTGTTAGAGAACACAGTTTCTGCATTTTCAAATATACAATATACAAACCACACATAAAATGTAATTAAAAGCCAGTGTCTCTGACATTGATATTTTGACAGAAATTAGATATTTTTCAAGCCTGTCGAATCAAATCAAAGTTTTTTTTTGATTGTTTTTATGAGACTGTCTCAATTTTCTAGGTGTTCAATGATCTGTTTATAGTGATTTCAGACTCTAAGAGAGTTTATTGAACCTGCATGCCAGAATCACTCTCTGATTCAATCTGCTGTGATTAAACAATCCAGTTTATGACAATTAAATAGATTCCAAGAGCTGAATAGGATGCAGAACTGTTAAACTCTGCGAAAGATACAGTTTGAGCATATTTTGGCATGATTTTTATGTTATAACAAATGTAAAGATTGTGTCTTTATGTTTTGAATCATGACTTGTCATTTAGCAGATTGTTTAATTCAGTAGTTTTTAATGGGCAGCTAAATGAAATCACAGCGGCGCACTGAGAATCTGTCATTTCAACTCACTTTTGAACCCAGGTTCATTAATCAAGGAGACATTGGAGATGATCAGACTAAATTTTCAGTTCATGATGGACCCCTACCTGGAAACCCAGTGGAAAACCCCCAAAAAGTGAACCGTACCGAGCCGTACCGTGCCGTACCATGCAGTGGAAAAGCGCCATTATGGATTAAAGTGGTACTTTTGCATTATTCTGCTAGAAAGGCCCAACCACAAGACTTCTATAAAAACCAAGGTCCAAAAACACACAGAGAAAATATTTTATGTCAAGAGATGCTTTGGTTGCTGCTAATGGAAGGGAATGGATGGTTTCTGAAATAACATGTATGAGAGCTCCATTAGCTTTATTTGTGAGGCCTTTGTATGATTTTATGCCTGGACTGTTTGACCGAAGTAACCTAGTTTATTAGCCCTTAATTGACTGTCTTTTTCTTCCTGTTTCCACAGAAACCTGTTAGATCGAGACACGTTCTCCAAGTCTGATCCTTGTAAGTACTTCTCTTTTTACATAACTGAAGCACTTGTTTTTGAACCTAAAATCTCATTAATATCTCTTTTTTACACACATTCAAAAACTTTGCCTGCTCTTTTTTGTCTACTCTGCTATTTCTCCAAGTTGCCTAAAACACATGCATAGAATTTGCATCACAATGTGACAGCTTTTCCTCACTATCAACAGAAATGCAGAAGTGCTTAATATATGCAGAGCATGAGCTTGGCCCCCTGAATACAAATTCTTCATGAGTCATGGGGACATTCAGACCTGTGTACAGTAAATCTCTTGCTGAAGACAAGATTATGAAATAGAGAGCAATGGGTCAAATAGTCTGGCCACCTTTGCAATTCTAATCTTTGCAAGAAGAACATTTATTGCTTAGACATTGCTCTTTCATCAAGGAAAATTAAATTCTTAGAATTCTGTTAATCTTCATTTAACCCTCATGCTCCACAATCCCTAGTAAAAAAAATAATATATTTAAAATACATTTGTTTCATACTAAATATAGTTCAAATCGCTTGAGACTTACTGATATAAAAATTATAATTAAACTTAATTTGGAGAGCTGCTTAATATTATTTCTTAATGTTTCTTATTAAGCCTAAAATGTGTTTTAATACCGCTATTAATAAAGATTATATGATCATCGAATAATATCGGTCTTTAAATGCAAGATATTTAAATTGTACCCGAAGTATACTTGCAATAGTTCCCCTTTAGCACAATCAAATATACTTCAGTATACCTTTAGTTTGACTTCAGCACTATTTCCGCACAATTAAAGTGCATTAAATGCAAAATTAGTTGTTCCAATTTAGCAGACTGTAAGTATACCAGTTTCGTATACTAAAAGTACAATTACAGGGTATTTTTTACTAAGTACATAAATATGTAAATGTATTTGTAGTATACTTAGCATAAAATAAATATATTTCAAAATACATTTTAGTATATTTATTTTTAACTAGGGATTGTATGTGTAAAACTAATAACTTTCGAATGAACCTTCTTATTTTCCTTTCAAACATTTTTATATTCCCTTGACCCAATAAAAACCTAGTTGGTAGATACTGACTCTTTAAATTTATGGTGAATCCTAAAGCAAGTATGAACTTTTGGCTCTGAAATAAAAAGAAGTTTGATATACGCAAGCAGTGCTTTACTGTTAGCGAACATCCTGATGCTGCCCGCACTGCTGAGAGTGGCCTTTTGATGAATATGTAAATATGTGCTGCACTTCCCTCACAATAACAAAATAAACACAACAAAAATTACAGCGGAGAGAAAACAGCAGTTAAGAAAGCATCTTATCATAATGATGTATAAAATGCTTTATTCAAGCAGCTTTACAGTACTAAAGTGTCAGTTATAGTCAAGTTACAGTCAAGTTATACAGTTAGAATTACTGTATAACTTGACTTATGAAGCAGCTCTCCATTGTGAAGCTAGGTAATGTGTAATCTTTTTAATGGTGAATGCAAGGTATTAAAAAGAAGTTTTTTAAAGAGATAACGTTGTGAATAAAATAGTTCTCCCAAAAATAAATAGTGTTATCACTTATCTTTATTTTGTTCCATATCTACAGACTAACAAAAGATGTTGGACAAAATGATGTGTCAGTCAGTTAGTTTTTTACACAGTTAATTAAATGGTGAATGAGAATGTCTTTCTGTCTGTCATTCCATTTTGTGCGCCAAATATATTTATTTATTTGGTAAAAAATAATTGTATAATAGTAATGTAATTGTTTGACATTTTCAAAAGCTGAAGTGATCGCCTTGTTTTATTATTAGTTAACTCAATATTTGAATGAATCAAAGCCTAAAACTGAATCAATCAAAGTCTACTGATTAATCAGTGAAATAATCAACGATTAGTCGATTAATCATTCTAATAATCATTAGATTATTAATTATCAAAATAATCATTTGTTGCAGCCCTGAATTGTATAAAATAATTAAAAAATATTGTAAAAGCCAAATAATTTGGCTTTGGAAGAATTTAATGAGAAATATTGTGATTTCTTCCAAAATTCTAGACACAAATTATAGGAAATTATAAAGTCTATTTCACAGGAGAAAAATGTAAACAGGAAACTCCATTAATTCTCCATTTTATTTCTACTTAGCTTCATTACTACTTAGCTTCTCATTGTTCAGCCTTTCTTCAGAGATGCAACATAAAAGCTTTTTCTTAAAAATGAAATAGAGGCTGATTTCTCTCTCTCTCATCTTCCTAGTGTGTGTTCTGTACACTCAGGGAGTGGAGTCTAAGCAGTGGCGTGAGGTAAGTGTCCACGTTCGGGAACAAACCTACAATCAGCTCTGACAGAGACTCCCTCATTTGCCCTAATCAGCTCTGCATATCCTCTCTGTCTCTCCGCCCCCTTCACTCTCTCCGCAGCCCTCTGGTGCCCATCACTGCTCATTGATTCTCCTGTTGAATATTCATGAATCAGTCCCCATGGCCCAGAATGATTGACTGTTGAGATGATTGTACACTTTCCGTTAGCGATTAGCATTAAAGTCGATCTGGCTCTAAAGTTACAGGCCAGTGCATTTGTAATGCTTCCCAGCTCACTGAATGTGATTTTTCACACTTAAAGGACGCAGCCCTTGGATTTGCCAGGTCATTGCAATCAGCTGATAATTGGACATCCTCGGGCTATCATATCCATCACTGGGCTAGCAAAAAAGACCTTCATTATGAAAAATCGCATTGCGGTTCTCTTTTGCAAGTCTTGGTTTGTGTTTCAGACCCTTTTAATTGAATCCCTTATTAGCGGGTGACAGGTTTTCTAGCAGGTGTTCTCAAGGCCAACATGAATGCATCAAAACGGATAAAATGTCAGGATGTGCGCATGAGGAGCTGTAACAACTTTTTGACCCAAAATAAAACCATACTGGTGTCGATCTTCCTTCTTCACAGATGGTTTTGATGAAACACCTTTCTCCAAAGATAAAAGACGACAGCTTACATAACACTGAGCAGGTTGCTCACTCCAATTAGTTATGTAGACTCTTTCTCTATGCCTGTGCCCATGTAAGATGCCTCTTGTTTGGGTATAATACCAACCGCTGTGGAAAAGAGGCAGTCAAGCTGTAAGGGATTGATAAAGATGGTATTTCCTTTGTGCATTTTTCTGTCTCAGCAGGAGATTTGGGAGTATGTGTGTATCTCTTTGTTACTAACACAGCATAAGCGCCTTACTTTGAGTGATTGTGTCCATGGTTTGGCTACTGTATCTTACATTCTTTTAAGTTTTTTATTATATTTTTTTCTATATTTAATTGTTTACACATTAATAAGCAACTAACCACTGAATTTTATGCATTAAAGTGATCTCACTATGGATAAGAGTGTTCTCTTAAATGTACAGTAAAGTTGCTGTAACAGTCTAGAGTAGCTTAATGCTTTGATCTAAACTGTATTTATTTTTTTGGTAGGTCAGGTATAGTTCTTTAGATGGATAGTTCAGCAAAAAAAAAAAAATATATATATATAATTTATATTTATATATAAAATAAATAAAAAATAAAAAACAATAAAATCAAATCTTTATTTACATAATTTACCCGTCATGTTGTTCCAAAAACCTGTATGACTTGCTTTCTTCTGTGGAACATGAAAGAGGATATTTTGAGAAATGTCTCAATGTTTTACAGTGGAAGTCAGTAGTACCCAAAAATTGTTTGGTTACCAACATTCTTCAAAATATCTTATTTTATGCTAAAAAGAAGAAAGAAAGTCATTTAGGTTTGGAACAACATGAGGATGAGTAAATGATGACAGAATTGTATGAAGTTGAATATGGTGTTAAACATGAACATGAATGATATGCTTCAACCTCCATGCTCTTTCCTGCTTCCCAAATATGAGCTGCCTATGATTGCACAGATTAATGGACAGATGGAAAATGCATTAATGTCTTTTGGCTAAACAAAAAATCCAACTAATAGGAATATTTTTTGAGTGTCATTCCAATAAAAAAAATTATATACAATACCTTTAAGATAGTTTAACATGATTTGCAATTGTAAATATTTCAAATCTAAAGGCCAAGTTGGATGGATTCTGATTCACTGTCAATGTTTTTATTGGGCATCAGCTGGAAAAAACTTTTTGAAAGTGATTTCAACAATATTGCTCCAGTTTTTTTGTGGCAGTATTGTTATTGCTGTGCCATAGACTTCCCTATTCTAACAGAATTAAAATGAATATTAAAATGTTATAGTCATGGTTGTCTTCCATGATTATCTAGTGTGGGTGCTATAGTTATACTTGGTGTGAATGGGCCTTAACATAAAATCTAAAGTTATTCATGAAAAACTTCTAGAAATCTCAAATATCAGTGACTTGAGAAAGTAAGTTTTTTCCCCCTTGTAGTATTATTGACTATTGAGAGTCAAAGCACATAATAATTATTTTCACTTAGATCTTGAACCGTTTTTAATCGCAGTCAATTCAAGTCATTTTTCAATCAAAGTCATTGATTTGTTTATCCTATTTTGCATAAGATCATTTTTTCCTGTTCTGTGCATCATAATTCTGTTAAACTTTATTTATGCACCTGCTGGGATTTCACATTCTGGTCTCATCACTGCTATTGCTATGGTGTGTTTTATCCTTCTCTTCTTTTCTGAATGTGACCTTGTGTTAATGCTCCCATAGGGTTTGTTTTGCACAGCTGTAGTCTGAACAACAGGTTTTTTCACTGTGCCTTGACTGCCTCTTTAACACTTCACGGGAGGTAAAGCTTTTTCAAAAGCAGCTTGGTGATTTAAGTTAAATGTTTTTCTTTGCATCTCCTCTCTCCGATGGGATTTCTGTCCAAAGGCAGTTTTGACAAAAGGGTTGGAAACCAGTGCAATACTTACAGAATAATGCACCATATATGACAAACCATAAAAGGCTTTATATACAGCAGCAGGTCAACATAATGATTTATAGCAGATATAAAGTCAGACTGTGAGGTCGTATTAGCAGTACTTAAAAGCATTATGTTATGAATCCTAATGACTGTGCTCTTCTGTCACAGAACTTTGCTTGAGAATGTTCAGTCACTCTTAGCCTTTGCAATTATCAATGTTTATGGTGCTAAAATATAAATTCATCCTAATTTTTACAGATTTAAGAGTGTTATTTGTGGTTGTAGGCTACGTGATTCGGAAATTGTCTTTTAATATGAAAGTTTATGCGTCTCTACACTACAGCTGAGAACATCAGACAGACATGCCTCAGGCTGTAACCATATGTTACACTGACTGAATGTTTGCGAGTCAGTCTGTGGTGATACATTGTCTCTTTATCATTAACAAGAGCACTGTGGGATGGTCTTTACAGTATGTTTAAATCACCTTATCATTCCTTTATCGCTCATAAGCCGTCTCCTTCATTTCTGCACGGCCAGGGTGTTGTAACATCCTTCTGGTGATTCATTTATTTATGCATTTCTCATCTGCCTCATCTTGTTTAATTATTCATGGGAAACACAATTAGCTGAGGGAACCGACGGCAGAGCATCCTTCAAGAATACAGTGAAAGATGACAGTCTCCTCTCCTCTCCTCTCCTCTCCTCTCCTATAGTAGCCTATCGTATAGTAGCCTATCGTATTGTATCGTATATTAGCATTTTCCTTTCCTTTCCTTTCCTTTCTTCTTTTACTTAATTTAATTTCCTTCTTTCCTTCCTTCTATCCTTCTTGTTTCCTTTTCCATCTTCCTTTTCCTGTCCACTGGCTGAAGATCTTAAAACGTTCACCCACCATCTCTAATTCCAAACTCTGATTTACGTTTCTTACATAAAACCAACAAGGCAGACATCCTTACAGAGACAGTAGAAGACGAAGAGGAGCTTTTATCATTAGTGGATCGAAGGCTTTTTGCATTTCTAGAGGATGTTACACAAGGAATGTGTTACACAATGTCAATGTTTATGGTTATACAGTCATTTAGATATAGCACAGAAAGCTGGAGCCAAACTGTTATTTGTACATTACTGTAACATAGAAATCACAGTTGTTTACAGTATTGCATGTGTTCTGGTGGATGAATAGACTGCCATTAAAGTGACATGAATATGCCTGAATATTTATTACTTCATTTGCATTCAAACACTCACACACACACACACACACACACACACAAATTATATGCCACAAATACGTACACGTTACTGATTCTGGGCAGGGGTTCCTGTTGTTCATTAGTGGAAGAGATACGTCACTTCTCAAAATATCACCTCTTGCTATCCTAGTTTTTTCTAAGGCTGCAGAGTCACAGGAACAGGGCAGTTAATGGACTGAACAGAGATGTAGATTTGTCTGTGGCTGCACGGTGTCAACTTTTTCATCCCCATGTAGTTGTTTTCTCTTTTTGTGTAGTTTGGGAGAACTGAAGTCATCGACAACACTCTGAACCCGGACTTTGTGAGAAAGTACATCCTGGACTATTTCTTCGAGGAGAAGCAGAATCTGCGCTTTGACATGTGAGTTATTCCCTTTGATGCTGACACACAGGAATCTGCCTCGCTCTCCGATGAGCTGTCCCACTCCGGTCTTTCTGCTCTCGCTCCGTTTGTCCCCCTCTCTCCCAGTGCGTCCTCCTTGGTAATTATTGATGCTGCATCTCTCTTGACTGTCATGTTTAAGGGGCTGGATCAGTGAAAGGGTGATAAATATTTCAGATGAGTTTTATCCCCAATCTTCACGCAGCTGTTCAAACCCAAATGTGTGACGCGGGATCCCAGATGATTTACAACATGCTCTTCCCTTCCCGCGCCCGACTCCATCTCATTCTTATTCACCTTCTTAAATGGGCTCTGCTGAGTTGAAAAAGGCCTGCTGCACTGCAGGCTGGACTTAATTGGAGAGTTCAGAGTGCTGTCAGTGAGAAACCTTCCACGTTTATGCCAATTCCTGCTTATACCAATGCAAATATTCACAGAGCCAATCAGCTGTGCCCCAGAACAGCACTTCCACTCAAATTTTAACAGCATCAAGAATTTAAATACAGACTAAGGATGATCTGATATTGATGATCTGTAATTTTTTTTACTAGTAGCGAAATGAAATTTCAAAAATTACAGTATCTTCTATTGTTTGGACAGAATTATCATGGCAACCAGATGTTTTGATTGTTAAAGTCACAATGAACTTTTTTTCTTTTATTGTGACGTACATCCGAGAGTAACATATTATTATTATGACATTTATGACATTTTCATTAAATATTACGGGGTAATTTTTACAGAAAAGAAAAGAAACATTGACAGATGAATTGTTCTCAATATCTATGACATGCACTTAGAAAATAGATGTGAATATGGGACATTTTAATTTCATGCTGACTTTAAGAAATGTTCTCTACAAGAAATCAAAATATTAGCTTTATGGATGACTTAGTTCATAGGAATCCCAGATCAAATAATGTGAGGATTCGTCGGTCATCCGACGTGACGTCGAGAGTGACTGACTGAAAGGGAACATTCCTCTTCATAACACATAAAATGGAGCTGTTATTGTCACCCAAGAGAAAATTGGATATGCCATCATCAAACAATACCGACTGAAGCTGTTCTTTGGATTTCAGATATGACATTGACTCCAAAAGTCCTGATCTAGCCAAACACGTGAGTATATGGAAGCACTTTGTATATGCTTTTTGTATGTATGTGCATGTGTGTTTGCTTGGGTGTATATGAAAGTTCTTTGTGTTCATTGGCGATTACACTCACATTTTGATATGCATGATCTTCATTCTGCGGTTGGTTTTATGCAATCTAAAATGATTGAAACTGATGTCATATTTTGTATCATTATCAAAGCTGTGCAAAACTGAAGAAGAGGTGAGATTAAAATCTCTCTATGACTTATAATAGTACAAGAAAACAGGTTCTGAATGTATTCTACAGTGCGCTTAAAATGGGAAATACAGACCATTTGTTACCTGTTAAACTGATAAAAGGCAAGCTAAAAATATATAGTGACAGGATATTGAGAGATATTTTCACTAAACACCTGCACCACTTTTTTCAGTGTAAGAAAGTTGTCATTCTCTTTAGCAAAGTCATATTTTTTTCTATGCAAATTCTATGCAAAACTATTTTCTTGGCATGATTAATGAAAAATATAATTTATTATAAAATAATTATGTACATAAATTCTTCATCTTCTTATAGTACATAAAAGCTATATAAGTATTATAAAATAATTGCATAATTACTTGATTTGCATAAATATGTACAATAAAACAGGTACAAAAACTATGCAGACAGTGTGAAAATAAACAACTCTCAGTAGGGGCAAATTATAAAATTGTGATTTTGTATAGAACCACCCAAATGTTTTGTGTGTGTCTGTCTGTCTGTCTTCATTTTCATTTTTCAATGAAATTCAGATTTATATTTGGTTTTCTCGCTTTCTGTTGTAATCAGTGATCATCGTGGGTGTTTTTCCCTTTCTCTCTTCTCCAAGATGCTTTCTCATTCTCTAACTCTTGTTTTTTCTCTTCTATCCTCTTTGGCCTGACTTCTTCAATTCGTTTGTATTTTTTTTTTGTCTTTTCGGTTACATGATATGCTCTGTTGTTATTGTTATATTTGCGGCCTTACCTCCCTACTGGAAGCCCTCCGAATTCAACGTACGTCTCTGCCTTGCACTCCTAGACTTTTCTCTTTACCTGTACAACTCATTTATACCCAGAACCACCCTGACTCATTCTGCTCTCTCTTCTTTACTTCCTGTGTGCCTATCCCACTCCTCTGGGCCTTCTTTTTGTCTGGGCCACCCTTCTGTAGGACTTCCTGGGACAGACCTTCTGCACTCTGGGTGAGATAGTGGGTTCACCAGGCAGTCATCTGGAAAAGCCTTTGGGGTAAGAAGCTAATGAACTGTTCTATCTACCCTGTAAAAGTGGTTAATTAAATTTTATGCAGCATATTGGTACATATTGATGTTTTTTTTATTTAATTGATCCCCAACAGTGTCATACAGTGAAAACACTTGCATCATTTCTACCTCATCTTAAATTACGTGTTGCGTTTTATAACATTCTGTGTTGGACATTTGAAATATTTGTGGGATAAAGTGGCTGATTCTTTTTTTCTTGCTAAGGCTAATTTCATGGTTAGCTTTCAGGTTTCCCTAAATATACCCAATTAAATTATACAGTTATAATTTTACAATCACAGATTGATTCAAAAGTGATTTTTACTGTGTTTTTTTCCATTATTTTCTCATATTTCACCTCAAACAAGCTCTTAAGAAATTTAAGTAAACTACAATTTTATCTTTTATTTTTTTTATTTGTTGGCTGTGGTGGAAAAGATGCCTGAGAGACTGAGAGACAGTCGGAATTTGTGAAGAAAAAAAGAAATATATATATATATATATATATATATATACAGTATATATATATATATATATAT